ATCGGCAGCGGTGGAGAGGAAATACCAATTTTTGCATTAAAGTATTGTCCAATGAAATCTTGTAAAACGAAGCCAGACGAGTGTGACACCACAGACTGTTTGTGTCTATATAAATATGCTATATAATTGCGCAACCCTACCTAATTTGCATTTTTTTTTTTTAAAATCAAAACCCCTAGCCCTTATTCATTCAGCATACCAAAGATGAGCAAAATCCGTTGAAGCCTGAACTGACTAATGGCAATTCCCATTTTTGTCCAAAAAATTGCCGTGGCTTTGAAAGTACGTCGACTAGCATGCTTCAAAATAGGACGTTTAATATGGGAGCATAGCAGTAACAACTATACCCAATTTCATATAACATATGGGTCAAACGGTTCCTGAGTTATCGTTGACCGTAGCGAAATGTTGACGGACGGACGGACGGACGACGGACGACGACCCATGGCAATACAGCTTGACCGATGTCAAGGTGAGCTAAAAATGATGTCAATGGTGATGAAATCATAAGGTGGTCGCTTGACAAGCCTGGACTAAGTTTAATTGTAGTTTTTGTCTACATGCTGTGAGTTTAATGGAAGTTAGATTGTGTGTATGAGCGATTTTGCCATAACCTTTAACATTATCATTATGTCCAAGTCAGGGATCTATTGCAATGAAGAACCGTTTGAAGGTGATCTTTTGAAATTGAGACCCAAGGCAGTGGCCAGTGGCAGCGGACTGTGGGGTCAGCTGAGTTCTAAGTTCAAGTTCTAGTGTGGAGTGACTTCAACTGGGTGACACTGACAGTTTAACTTAGAAGCAGAAGGATTGGTCAATGTCCAATATCGAAACATAATTTTATACGTAATACGTGAGCAGATAGAGATAGCTGGTATACATTGTGATGCAGAGCATGATGAATGGCCTATGCTGGGTACCGTGGATTCACTCACTACACAGGCTGTTGTCAACTTACATCGAGTGCGTCTAACAGAGGAATTGCTCCGACCGCTGATTGAAGATAAAAATATAATTCGTGACGTTTTCGTTTCACCGTCCATAGCCGCACGTGCAGTAGCCTATGAGTATAGCGATACCACGCGTGCATATTTGCTAATTAATTAATAATCTCATTCGCTTCAATAAACTCAAAATTCACAGAGATTTAGCTATGACATGTGTCTATAATAGCTAAAAATTTATAGAAATGTAACAAACTCATATCGTTCGCGCGCAAATATGGTAGTTACTAAGTTTAGTACACTTTCCTACCCGGCCATAGCCGCGCATGTATTAGCCCAATGAGCGATACCGCGTGCATATTTTCTAATTAATTAGACTAATCGGTACTTCAATAAACTCAAAATTCACAGAGATTAAGGCTAAGACATGTATCTATTAATATCTAGGGTTTATAGAAATGTAATTCGAATCGTTCGCGCGCGTATGATAGTTAACAGTTATTCGCCGAAGGCGAGGTGAATCTTGTCGAAATAATCCCCGAGACGAAGTTGAGGTGCTGTGTTATAGGCTGGAGAAAGATTCACAAGTCAAATGGAGACGCACGTGACACGTGGCAGTGAGCCTGACAGGCAGGGCTACACTCGGCAGCATAAAGCCACCACAGCCCCTGACTTTGGAAGAAGACAAGGTAGGGAGTTGGAAGCTGTTTAAGAAAATATTGGACAACTACAACCTGTTATCTGGGCTGCACACGAAAGACCATGCGTTTCAGGTAGCAATCCCTTGAGAACCTGTCTCGCTGACGATGCGGAAACGCCCGGGGTTTAGCTCTCAACGCCCGAGTCACAAAGAACTGTCACTGAAATTATAGAGAGGTTTCAAGAATATGCCATAGGTGAGGTGAATGAGACCATGGAGAGATTTTTATTTCACCGGCGTTGTCAGCAGGAAGGGGAGGACTTGATCACTTCCTGGCAGACCTCAGAACACTGGCAACAAACCTGTAAGTTTGCAGCGCGTGCGAAGCCTCTATGATAAGAGACAGAGTTTTGTGCTGGAATAAGAGAAATGACACGAGAGAAGACTTGCTAAAGATAGAGAACTTGACCTTTGACAGGTGCATTGATGTGTGCAGGGCTGTACAGTCTGCTTCGTTGTGTGACAGAGCATTGAAGCCAGTTATGCCCTGATACTGTGCACAAAATAAGGGCAAGATTTCCCGAGTCAAGGATAAGCAGTACGTAACTTTGCAAGAAAGAACAGTGCAGATTTTGCAACTTCTCTCACTTCAATGAAGAAAGAACTAAGTGTCAGCTTTTGCAAGGACGGCCGACATATGCGGCGAGAAGAATTCACTTTAAGTCAAAATGCCCCAGACCCAACATGAAAGAACAGGCGGACAGAGAAACACGAGACGTATCGGCGCCCTACAGGACGACTGGGTTAGGGGCCGGGTGAAATCAGCTAAAGGACAGAGTATAATTGATGATGGATCTGCTGAGTGAACTCAGAATTATAGAGTCGGTGGGCAACACAGTCACAGCTCATGCGGAAAAGGGTGCAGTGTCTGTGCAAAGCTGTCACGGTGTGTCTTCCGCCAAACCAGTAGGCATGACACAAGTGATCGGTTGATCTGTTGGCGTGCTCAGAGAGTCGAATTTTCAGATAGACACCGGAGGCGTCTGAAAATGAGCTGCCATCAGATTTGCAGACAAGATAGGCCATATAGAGGTGTACTAAAGATATGTTGAAACAAGGGCTGTCCACAGAACCTGTCGGCGGACACGTCCTCGAAATGAAGGCTGACATAACCCGAGGAACAACAGGAAGATACTCAGTGCCCTTTTGTGTTGTGTTTTGAGGATGAAGAGGGCCAACCTATTATAGGTTAAGCCAGACCGATTTGTGTGCAAATGAACACTCATAGCAGAGTTCAACGTGACAACTTTCGACTGTGCGTCGCGTGCAAGGTGCCCTACACAACGAATGCCTTCGCAAGAGGTTTATCGATAAAAGCTGGCAGAACTATTCGGCGTACCCGGCATCCGTAATGTTCTGTGCTGGTGCCGTACCTGTAGGTTGATGGCCAACATGGAGAGTCCGCCATTCGTGTGGTCGCGAGCCCGAAAGCTAAAGAATGAAGCTGGACAGAGGCTAGAAGGAGATAAATGTCATACAGCCCGGTTGAGGAGCGACGATGCACTTTAAAAGGGATGATGGAGAGCTCCTTGAGGGCTCTCCATTATGCCTCTTGGGGTGTGATGATGGAATCATGACCAATCCTCAGTCTAGAGTGAAATCCAAAACGAAAATTGGGATGTCATGTCAATCCACTGATTATCATTCATCTTCACCTTCATTCATTCAATGGCTTTGTCATGATTACATTCTTTTCATCCAACAACCCAACACTAGCACACAGATTAATAAAAGAGTTGATCGGATGTAAAAATTAACTTGTTTTATTTATTCTGATCTTCATCCTTAGAGACTCTAATCCATGTACCTGCATATTTCAGCAAGAAATATCATCACAATCCATCAACAAACTAGCCAAATTACTTGTACGTAATAGCCACGTATGTAGCCCCTCCAGCCCTACGACTGTTTCACGTCGGCAGAAAACCACTTCTCGCCACGTATAGTGGAAAACGAGCAGGTAACTTGTGGCTACCGTGTAGGTACCTGTATTTGGATGCTGTTGTCTAGTTGTATAAACCAGAGGGTAGTAACCTGTACCTCTGCCATACGTTCAGTTACTTACACACCACAAATTGTTGTGTGTCTCTGACCTTTTTGTACACCCCTACATTGACAACTCTATGGAGCGCTATTTCAACATAATATGCAGGCTTTTGGTGTGTGATTTCAACCACTTTTATGAGGCACGATGATGCATGCACCATGGCACAATTTTGGGTGCGCGGTGGAGCGCGAGCGCGATCACGCCCCTTAAAAATGAAAGCCTGTAGTAAGCATACATTAAGACAATGATACGAGTAGAAGCGCTCCGGATAGTTACCGAGTCACAGTGTGTTCACATGTACGGGATCATCAGAGACCACGGAGGTATTCTTACCCCCCCCCAAAAAAAAAACTGATCTCAGAAATGGCCTGAAATCCGCCGAACGGCGGAAATGTCTCATGCCTGGAATAAGTTGTTAACACCTTCAAGTGCCTTGAAAACCTTTCCGCCGGGAAACAGCATCATCGACAAATGATGGTCCCAACTTGGGACTCCCAAGGAAATAACACATTGACATTGATTATCGAATTAAGAACAGGTTTTATATGGATTGAATTTTGACACTTAATTTTTCGACTTTTTGATGAAAGTGGTCCAGCTTGTAGGCTACATCCCTCATTTTTTGTGGTGACATTATACGGAATAATAACATAACCTTGCAGCTTTGCGTCAGTGGGCTGGAGGTATTTAGGCTACTTGTGTAAAGAACATGCGCGTGGTATTCCAGTCTGTGGACACGTTCAGACTAGACGTCTCTGATTGGTCAAAAATATCCGCGATTACAGTGAGGGTTCATTAATATTCATAAAATTACTATATCAGACACAGCTTGGATACATATTAACCCCCCCCCCATCATTTGCAAGAAAATGATAGGGGGCGACCCCCTATGACCTCCCCTATCATTTGCAAGATGTTTCTTCTTCTTCTTTTTCTTTTTCTTTTCTTTTTCTTTTTTCTTTTCCTTTTCCTTTTCCTTTTCTTTTTCTTCTTCTTCTTTCCCTTTTCTTGCAAATGATAGGGGGGCGACCACCCCTGTATGTATATAATACATATATACACCTAACGACCAGTATCTATATAGGTATTATAGGTCATATACACGTATCGCCAGTATAGTGCATTTAGCCCTATATGGAGCTCCATGGAACTTGTGGGGAGACTATGCAACTCTATAAATGTATGTCATTCAGGTGCTGCCATCTAGCAGTACATAACGTACACTAGGATATGGAACTCCATATAGGGCTAAATGCTCTATACTGGCGTATAGGCTAACATAGACCTCGTCATACTCTCCATGTTCTAGACACGATAAGGGACCTAGTGCTCTCGGAGCTGCTGCCGGACGGCTGCAAGCTGAAGTGCTTTGACCAGCATCCGCTGCTGTGTCTGGACGAGTTGTCGAGCGGCAACAGAGACGTCGCTGACAGACGCCTCATCATCTACCAGTTCGAACATCAGCTGAAGCAGCAGTACGCCAACCTTGTCGAAACCCTCAAGGTCAGACGAAAGTCTCAGAACATGCGGTGTTTGTTGCAATCTATTGTTTTGTGTTTGTTGCAATCATATCTGTTTGTTGCAATGAGTTGTTTCGTGTTTGTTACGATTATATCTGTTTGTTGCAATGAGTTGTTTCGTGTTTTTGCAATGTTATATATGCTTGTTGCAATCAATTGTTTCATGTTTGTTGCAATCAACCCGTTGATCTGTTGTAATCATAGCCCGCTAAAGAGTATTTAGCGTTATGGAGAAACGCTCGTAATTTTATGCTGGTCGCGTTACACTGATTTTGATTAAGTCTGTACTGCGGGGTTTTACGTCACACAACAAGTTTTGTTTGAGATATTAGTTTAATATACTACATCGTATTGACCTGGTGATCTTATGACCCTGTTTTGTATTTCAGAAACTATCATTTGATAATCTAAAGGCAGTGAAAACAAAAGCATTGAGTAAGTTTATGCTCATTATTAAACTTTGTTAATTATTAGCTCAGCTGACATAGTCAGATGCAGCTTGTAGAATCGCATGAGCGTGCGTCCGTCCGTGCGTCCGTGCGTCCGTGCGTGCGTCAACAGTTGGGCACAAATCTTAACCGCTTGATGTACGGTCACGATATTGGGGATGTCGGGGGGGATCGTCAAAACGAGTTGGGATGTCGAAGCTGGGGGTCAAAGGTCAAAGGTCAAGAGGTGTAAAAGAAGGGGGAACATTCCCTCCTTAACTTAATCCATCGCTACAAAGCGGGTATAGCGCCATCTACGGTCACAAATTGTGATTCATTTTGGTTTATAGATTATTATTGCGATATACAGATGGCAATCATTTCTATAATGTACGTCGATGGTTGCTCAATTAAAACCGACTTGTTCTTACTCACTCATTTGTGTCTTTTTTTGTGGTGAGCTACAGTGTCATTGACACTTTCATTGCCACTAGCACTGAGGACATTTTTAACTAGACAAAGTGCACTCACGGAGAGTGCATACCTCTGCCAGCGACATACGCCATACGCCATACGACTCACAAACACACGAATAAGCCACGATATACGCCAGCGTACTGACATGTACAGGCTGGCTTGCTGCTCGCTCGCTCGTAGCAGCCGCTCATTGCTGCTGCTCGCTCACTCACATGTACACGCTCGCTGGGTATCACTGGCTGGCTGGCTGAGCTGGCTGATGCGCTAGATAAGAGCGAATACATAAGAGCGAATGCTAAGAGCGAATACATAACCTCCTCCAACTCCGTTGGGCGGAGGTAATAATATAATGAAACACTGTGGCAGTTCATATACAGTGTTGGTCTTTAACCTAATGTAATGACATACATGTACAGCATTTCATTTCCATTCTCTCATTGTTTTGCTCTTGTAGGAAGATCTCAGTTTGTTGCATGATGTTGATGAAGCCAGCAAAAGTGATGATGAATATGAAGAAGCGACCGGTGTGGAAACTTTTGATGAGAAAGAGGTATAAATTAGACTATGTCTTCCCTGCTATGGACAGTAACGTCTTTATACTTATTGATGTTTCAATATTACTATAATTGTTGTTATTATTATTAATATTTACCTCGTGAATATGATTTCTGTAGCACTTCCAAGTGGTCTGATTTACACAATCTGATTGTAGACTGTAGTAACTTAATTTAGGACAAAACATAACACTATCAGTAGCATCTAAATCATGGTAATATTTATAATTGGTCAACTCTAAAAGTGATTTTGATGGTGATTTATCACCTGTAAAACTAAAAGTAGCGCTTTGTTGATTAAGTATACTCTCAGCCTTTTGCATGGGTATTGCTCTAATGAAGATTAAACGTTTATTGACAAATGAATCGAATCAATCACTTATTTTATTTATAGGGGAGATATATCTCTATGCTCAAGGCAAAAAATTTCATGAAATTTCCAGCACCTAATTATGTTACCACAAAAATTTTGAATTTTTATGTAAAAATGATATTTTGGATATTTCTCAATTACCAGAAAGAGTGAGGATACAAAATTTTCGCCACATATTAAGCAGAATATGTACCAAAATAGCGCATCAGGATTTTTCTTTATGTTTCATATTTACCGAGAAAAATTAAAAAAACTGCCTAAAATTCAAGTCGCACGTTTGAATTAAAAATTTTTGCGAATAAAGAGACAATAACTCATAAAATACGGCACTTAATAACAATCCCTGGCGCGCTTTTTTACAGCAATATGTTACCATTAAAATGAGTGTAAAATTAAATTATTCCGAGTTATTAGAAATATCCATTTATACATCGACTACTAAGTCAGAAATTGGAACGGAGAAATCGGCGTTTTTCTGACGTCAGCCGCGGCTCATTACACATGTACGCGGGCAAGCAAAACGCTCTGACAGTTCACATGTACCGTTATATGGAGAAATGAGCATGTACACAGGTGTCACATAGTGTTAGCCATCGAATAAAGTTGAAAATGAAAAATCGGTGAAATTTTTCCTAAAACCTTGAGAGTATCTTTAATATGATTGACGGATTGACATGATTGCTTTTACATTACAGTTGCACAAATTCATCGGTCAACTTAAATTCAAGAAAACACACAGTGGGTATGTATGAAATGCAACATTATGTCATGTTTTTTCCCTTCTTCAATTGGGTTTATATAAGGCCAAAACAAAATATTTGTGTGGTTACCGTTACATGCCGAAAAATAAATAGTGTAAGTAGGTAGGGAAAACATTTTATTTTCTTGAAATCTTTTATTTACGAACCATGTCCGAAGGTTGTGCGTTGTGCCTTTTGAAGCAGGAACTGTCCAATTAATATATATATTTATTTATTTTTTTGACTTTAAAGAAAATTGACAATAAAATGTTTAGCGTCGCTGGGAATAAATAGGGTCGGTCGGGAAACCGTAACCACACCTATATTTTGTTTTGGCCTAACCAGTATTCATGGTCATATTGTATGATGAACCATTTATCTTGATTTATAATTTTCCTTCTATGTTGTTATATTCGTATCAAACCAAATACCCTACTTGCCCCTGTGATGCTGTCTTTCCCTTATGAACATGTCTTCTGTAGGTGTTAAAGATGCTGTCTCCATATTGTATATTTATAAAGAGCAGAATACAAAACTGCAATATATATGTCAGTTATGATAAATTTATACTGTTTAGATGAATGAGATGTGCAAGCCATCTTGAAATGGCAGTTGTTCTATGAAAGCTATTCTTATCATACAATTTTTATAGGCAAGAGAAGGAAGGGGTTAGCAAGCCAAAAAAGGAGAAATCACGAAATGAGAATACTAAGAAGAAGAATATGGATACATCACAGTCTTCCCCGGACAACATAGCTCCTGGAAACATTGCTCCACAGGTACCTGCAAAGAAGAGCAAAAATAAGAACAAGTGGATAACAGACGATTCTAATTCTGCTACATCAGCGGCAAAGAAATTGAAGAAGACGAATGGTGTGCAGGATCCCCTCGTTTCCAGTTCGACCGTGGCCAGACTAAATCCCGTCACTTCCCTCCACTCTCACAAACAGCAAAGAAAGTATCTCCTTGTAAAACCAGGAACCAAGTGGCATGAAGATCAGGTACGTCAAGGCGATGTTGATAGTAAATAAATTTGTGTATAACTGTACGAATATTTCCCACAATAGATGAACATGTATACAGCTGCGAATGAAATTAATGTGCCTAAAAATGAACTACTAACCATTCTAACCATGGTTCTAACCGAGATTCTAAACATGTTTTCACTTGTATTTGTATATGTGGGGGCAAACGAGTACAGATTTCAATCTAAATGAAAGCATCTTATCATTACAGTTTCAGGCTGATCCACTAGTGTGGGAGCCTGCCCCTGCGCACGTTGTGAAAACGCTGCAGACACTTGCAGAGAGGTTACTCCAAGATGAAGTCAACTTGTACAATCAGAGTAAGCAGGTGCAGGGCTCGAATTAAGCGACGAGAAGGGCAAGGCAATTTTTTAGGGCATGTGAGAAATCGCCTTGAATTTTCTCTAAAATGGAAGGGCAACAGTGACGCAATTTTAAAAGGCACCAAGGCAACTCTCAAAAAGTTTGAGAAGGGCAACAATGGCACTTTTGTAAAATAAAGCAAAACTCATAACAAATTATTACATCAACATCGTCTTGCTTTTAATGTACAAAACAATAATGCCCCCATGTAAGCTTACACCGTAACACCGACCCCTGTACCCCCCTCTGCAATGGAAGTACAGTAACAAGAAATTTTACATGCCGCTATCAGGAGCGAATAATTATCCGATGCTGTTATTATTCCTCCTGCGACTATCGGTTTTAAGCTCAGCATTGCAACTACAGCACGCACGCGCACGTGTTATGTTGACTCGACTAAAAAACGAAACAGGGCAGTAGATTAAAGGGCACCGACGGCAATTACACAACAGGGCAAGCAGGTGACTGCCGTCGGTTGGGTTGGATTTTCAGGGGCAGTACGGCGATTGATAGGGGCACCGACAGCAATTGCGCCGTCGTGCCGTCGGTTAATTCGAGCCCTGAGCAGGTGGTATTTGTTGTGTACTAATCTATATTAATCCCGATATATATATATATATATATATATAAAATAATACATATAAATATATATATTATAGATAGACAGGGTTGAAAAATAACTCGCGATCCGGTGATCCGACGGCTTTTTCAGCTTCGGATCAACACCGGATCATGAAAAATAAAACATCGGTGATCCGACTGAAATCACCGGAAAAAAAAAAGGAAAAAAAAAGAGGTATTCAAGTCTGCAAAAGCAAAGCATGTGGATGTACTTTTAAGTGAACTGGAAAGGAGGTTTCCCATTAATGAAACATGTTGCAAAACATTTCACTCATTTGTACATCAAGTCATGGCCCTAGATCTGAAGGGTGAAGAGACCTATGGCGATTGTGCTCTTGATGATATCGTGGCCCATCACAGGACAGTTTTGGAGGCGGCATCTGTACAAACTGAAAACGTTGTAGAAGAGTGGACCACCATTAAACTCTATGTACAGAAAAGGTACAGTGATGAACGTGGCCGTCAAAAGGCAACATGGGCAGACATTCTGGCAGCAAACCCAAGAAGCAAGAACTTTGCTGCTGTGGTGAATCTGTTGCTGTCTTTGCCGTCTACTAGTGTAAGTGTGAGAGAGGTTTCTCTCAAATGAAGAGAATAAAGTCTGATTGGAGAAGCAGACTATCAGGATCCAACTTAAATGCACTGATGAGAATTTCTCTGGATTCTCCTGCAGTAGGTGCTTTTGATCCGTCTAATGCAGTGGCACTGTGGGAAGCAGAGAGAAGACGAAGGCCTTTTGTCAAACCGTATGGGCCTCATCTTTCCACTAAACCTGCCACTGTTGAAGATGATGATGAACAGACAGCCGAAGATTACGTAGATGACGATGATGCACTATATTAATATATAGAACT